ACGCACAGCAAGACGTGCAGCAGCATCGCGGGTCGCCCACTTGGAGCGAACGGCAGAGTCAGCATCAGCAGGTGGGGCAGGGACAGCGCCAGAGACAAAGTCAAAGAGAGAGACCTCATCTATCGCATCACACAGTAAGTACAGCTGCAGGTCTTCAATCCAGACGGCAAAGTCAATGGCCCTCCCCTCAGCGTCAAAGGTAAGAACATTGGGGGTGGCCATGACAGCAGCTGAAAATCTCACCGGGCTGGGAGAGGCGGGTAGGTCAGCAGCAGAGGAACAGCAGCACGGCTCCGCAGGCGGCTCGGGCGGCGCGGGCGGCTCGGCGGCGGCTCGGGCGGCGGCTCGGCGGCGGTTCGGCGGCGGCGCGGCGGCGGCTCGGCGGCGGCTCAGGCGGCGGCGGCTCGGCGGCGGCTCGGCTGCTGCTGGGCGGCGCGGGCGGCTCGGGCGTCACGGGCGGCTCGGCGGCGGCTCTGGCGGCTCGGCGGCGGCTCGGGCGGCGGCTCGGCGGCGGCTCGGCGGCGGCTCGGCGGCGGCTCGGCGACGGCTCGGCGGCGGCTCGGCGGCGGCTCAGGCGGCGGCGGCTGCTGCTGGGCGGATCGGCGGGGCCGCGTAGCAGAGTGGCGGCGGGGCCGCGACCGAAGAGGGCGGCGGGGCCGCGTAGCAGAGGGCGGCGGGGCCGCGTAGCAGAGGGCGGCGGGGCCGCGACCGAAGAGAGCGGCGGGGCCGCGTAGCAGGGGGCGGTGGGGCCGCGTAGCAGAGGGCGGCGAGGCCGCGTAGCAGGGGGCGGCGGGGCCGCGATCGAAGGGCGGCGGGGCCGCGTAGCAGAGGGCGGCGGGGCCGCGTAGTAGAGGGCGGCGGGGCCGCGTGGCAAAGGGCGGCGGGGCCGCGATCGAAGGGCGGCGGGGCCGCGTAGCAGAGGGCGGCGGGGCCGCGTAGCAGAGGGCGGCGGGGCCGCGTAGCAGAGGGCGGCGGGGCCGCGAGGCAGAGGGCGGCGGGGCCGCGTAGCCGAGGGCGGCGGGGCCGCGATCGAAGGGCGGCGGCGGGGCCGCGTAGCAGAGGGCGGCGGGGCCGCGATCGAAGGGCGGCGGGGCCGCTAGGGAAGGGCGGCGGAGCCGCGAGGGGAAGGGCGGCGCAACGGTTCGCTAGGGGCGACACGACGGGTCGCTAAAAAAAAACGCGCCTCGGGGCGCGGTTCGGTGGGCCCTAGAAGCAGTCCCTAGGAGGGAACCTGCTCTGATTCCATGTGAAAACAAAGAACGAGAATGAAATGACTATGAACGAAGTGAGTACAAATAGGAAACCCTAATTGGGTTGTACCCCCTATGGGATACCCCACTATAGCCTACAGAAACAAGTAAGCTATAAGTTCTGACAACGCCCACCAAGTTCCGGGAGAACGAGGGGACGTGAAACCCAGTGAGAGACCCGGAGGGAGCAGCAGGACACGGTAAAGTGGTAGTGTGACGTGCAGTGACTGGTCCCGTAGTGGGATCAGCCAACGCTACAGAAACAGGCGCATGAAGTGGTGTAAGTGTCGTGCTGTCCCGAAAGAAGCAGTGGGAGGCTCCAGAGTCCAGTGTGAACGACAGCGAAGCGTCCTCTGAGGTAGTCGCTGGTCTAGAGTCTACACAAGTACCTACACTAGCAACAGGCAACTGAGCAAGACTAGCACCTAAGCTAACAACACCAGAGTAAACAGAGTCAGAAACACTAGTGTCAACAACAGCATACATAGCATGAGGAGCACTAATCAGATCAACTAACTGCTCAGCAGACATGCCCCACAGAGCGGAGCCGTAGCGCTGAACCAGAGGAAGCCAGTCAGGAGCAGGACCGCCAACCCCGTAGGTCAACCGGACCGTGTCAGTGAGCTGAGCAAAGCACTGACCAGGGGGGTGAAAGCGGCCACAAGGGTGGCCCCGACGAGGACCTGTCTGAACCTGGTAGGGGCAGGGAGGGTAAGCAGCACCGCGCTGGGGCTGACGTAGCCCCGACCCCGGAGCCAGCTGCTGACGCTGCTGCTGCTGAGGCTGCTAGGAGGAAAGGGGCTGCTGCTGCTGCTGAAGGTGCTGCTGACGCTGAGCCTGGTACCACGCCGCTGCTCCACCTAGCGGGGCCGGCAGTACAGGAGGCGACTGACGAGCTCGAGGGTCGCCGCCACCAGCAGGTGCAGTGGAGTCACCAGCCGCTGCACGAGGGGTCTCTCCAGACGCTGCACTCCCACCACCGCCAGTCGCAACAGCACCCCCACTACCTCCGCTACCTCCGCCTCCACCTCCACCGGAACCACCTTTCTTGCCCCCCCTGCCGCGGGACCGCGACGCAGTCGTAACAGCAGCCGCAGTCGCGTCAGTAGCGGCAGTGGCAAGAGAGGCAGTGAAGGTGGGTAACTGCGGGACTGTGCACCCGTGGAAGAGTGGGGGGGACACAGTACCAGAGGCGGCAGCTACCGAACGAAGGTTGCTCTCGACGTCCTTGAGTGCAGACTCAAGGACCTCGATAGTCAGCTCACTAGGGTGCTTTAGCAGAAGCGCGTCACGAACGGAGGCAAGGCGGTCAGGGAGGCTAGTGGCGATGAAATAGACAGTAATCGCCATGGGGGGAGGAAGCAGTGCAAGCTGTGCCTCAGTGCAAGCAGCGCGGTAACTAGCGTCGAGCGAGCGGAGGTGAGCGATCAAGTCAGCAGAGCGCTCAAACGAGGCAAGATCAGGAAACAGGAACGGGAGGAAAAGACGGCCGAGAGAGACAGTAGCGGGAGTAGAGTAGCGGGCCTGAATCGCAGTGAGGTACGCAGCAGCGGTGCGAACCTGAGTAAAGTGGACCTCCTCGGACTCAGGGAGGAGGCTGCTGAGTGCGATGCAGGCCGCAGCGTCACTCGACGTCCAAGCCGTCCGGTCAGCGCGCTGACGGGCAAAGCGAGCCGTAGCAGCGTCGTCAGGAGCAGGGCCTAAAGGTGTAGGCTCGGGGGGCTCGGGGAGGTCACCAGTAGCGTGTGACCAGAGGGTCTCGCCCCCCTGGACCTGACTCTCTAACAGACGACGAGCGCAAAGAAGCCAGACGGAAAAGTCAAGGGGTCTACCGTCGGCGTCGAAACGAAGAACTCGCGGAGTCGCCATAGTGAGAACTAACGCGAACGAACAGGCGAGTAACAACCGGGGGGGAAGAGGACTCAGTCGCAGCGGAAGAGCGGGCTAGGGCGACGGGCCAAGACGTAGGGTAGGGCAACGGGCCAGGGCCTAGGGTAGGGCGACGGGCCAGAGCCTAGGGAGGGCGACGGGCCAGGGCCTAGGGAGGGCGACGGGCCAAGGCCTAGGGAGGGCGACGGGCCAGGGCCTAGGGAGGGCGACGGGCCAGGGCCTAGGGAGGGCGACGCGACGGGGGAAAGGGCGGGAGCGACGCGACGGGGCAGGGCGACGCGACGGGACAGGGCGACGCGACGGGGCAGGGCGGCGCGACGGAGCAGGGCGACGGGACAGGGCAGGGCGACGCGACGGGGTAGGGCGACGTGACGGGACAGGGCGACGGGACAGGGCAGGGCGACGCGACGGGACAGGGCGACGGGACGGGGGGGAACGGGCGCGACGTGACGGGGGGAACGGGCGCGACGTGACGGGGGGAACGGGTGCGACGCGACGGGGGGAACGGGCGCGACGCGACGGGGGGAACAGGCGCGACGCGACAGGGGGGAACGGGCGTGACGCGACGGGGGGGAACGGGCGCGACGTGACGGGGGGAACGGGCGCGACGTGACGGGGGAGATGGCGCTAGGCTCGGTACTAGGCGCGGTAACAACGAAACTGGTACGAACGAGAGGTAGGATCAGGCTCGGGAGGTACGAACGGAGAACGGAGGAACGGGATCCCACAGGATCCTAACCTAGCTGATACCATGTCAGAATGAGGAATGGATGGTGCCATTGATGTTGGTTGGGGTACATATAACAAACCCTAACTTCTGTACCCCCTAAGACAAACCTCACTATAGGCTACAACATTTGACACTTGATGGGGTGTCTTGACTGGGCGTTTTGATTGGGTAACTTGAGGGGGGGTTTTATGTGTGTTGCATTTGGGTTCTTTTTGGGAGTTTCATTTTCCTTCTCCCTTTCTTTCTCCATTCCCTTTCTTTTTCAGACACACTATGGCGAGACACATGGTGTGGATGACTGTTCTATCATGGGTCTGCACCATACTGTATTGCAGATTAAAACATCAACATCAAGTATATTCGTTCAAATGCAGAGGCAGGGATCACCGCGCGAATTCTCCAAGCACGTGGCTTTCGCTTCATTTGCCATCCCGTTTCACCCACACCAGATTCCCAGACTTCCGCAAATACCTTCCCCATTACCAGTTCCAGCTTTTGAGATTCCTTGTCGAGATTCTTCCTCACTCGCAAGACCGCTTGCCTCGCTTTCTTTCCGTCTCCAGTTTCGTGCCGCCGTGTCGGGCTGGCACTCTTTGCTTCGGACGACAGTTGAAAGCTGCCTAGGATCGCTTCTTGGCTTCCTTCAGCCCACAGAAAGCCCAAACGCCTTCGCGTGACACGTCTATCACATCCGTCTTGAAACACAAAACCGAAGCATTTTTCTTCTCTTCGTTACTCGCTAGAATCCTTTCTCACAGAAGCTAACCACCATCTGTCACCATGGCTGCGATAGCTCCGCATTTCCTGTCGCTCAAGTCTAGCGCAGGATCGTTTCGTCGGTCTGCGAAATCCCTCCAGCCAGCTCAAAGACCGCGCAGGCTTCGCAACAACCGTCGCGACGTCGCCTGGCACTCGCACGGGTCGCAGCGCCGGAACCCGAACCACCCAGATCCCAAACCGTCGCGCAAAGCTCCACTCCGTCGACCAGCACCGCCGCAGCGCCTTTATCTCCGTCTCCGTCTCCGGCGCTTCGGGAGCCTCCCGTTGAGAAGCGGCTATTCGAGCACGTGCTCGAGGCGCAGCAGTTCAACCGCGACTTGCTGTCGGAGATCTTCGAGGTGGCGGACGAGATGCAGCAGATCCTCGAGGCGCGTGGCGGCGCGGGGTGCTCGAACATGCTGCGCGGGTACCTCATGGCGACGCTCTTCTACGAGCCGTCCACGCGCACGCGGCTGTCGTTCGAATCCGCCATGAAGCGGCTCGGCGGCGAGGTGCTCACCACGGAGAACGCGCGCGAATTCTCGTCCGCTGCAAAGGGCGAGAGCCTTGTGGGTGAGTTCGGGAGGAAGTGAGGGGAAAACGTGGGAAAAGGAGGAGGGGAAGGGGGGAAAGGTAGAAGAAATTCTGTCGAAAGGGAAATGGAGCATGTGGAGAGTGGATTCGGAGTATTAAGTTACGGAATGAAAAAGAATTTACAGAGTAAAATTCATAAATGAATTCAGCAGTTTAGTCTAGAGCATGAATCCTTTGTCTCCTTGCTTACTTCCTTTCACCTCCTCCCCCTGTGTTCACTACCAACTCCGTCTCCTATCCCCCTCCCTCCCCCCTTCCCATCCCCCCCACCTCCCCCTCGTCCTCCCCTTCCCCCTCCCTCTCCCTCACTCACTGCAGACTCCATTCGCACGGTGGAGGCGTACGCGGACGTGATCGTGCTGCGGCACTACGAGGAGGGCGCGGCGAAGCTGGCGTCGCAAGTGGCGTCCGTGCCCATCGTCAACGCGGGGGACGGGCCCGGCCAGCACCCCACGCAGGTGAGAGGTTTCGGGCTTGCTCGTGAGGGGGTTAGGGCTTGCACCTGTGGGGTTTCGGGCTTGCTCGTGAGGGGGTTAGGGCTTGCACCTGTGGGGTTTCGGGCTTGCTCGTGAGGGGGTTAGGGCTTGCACCTGTGGGGTTTCGGGCTTGCTCGTGAGGGGGTTAGGGCTTGCACCTGTGGGGTTTCGGGCTTGCTCGTGAGGGGGTTAGGGCTTGCACCTGTGGGGTTTCGGGCTTGCTCGTGAGGGGGTTAGGGCTTGCACCTGTGGGGTTTCGGGCTTGCTCGTGAGGGGGTTAGGGCTTGCACCTGTGGGGTTTCGGGCTTGCTCGTGAGGGGGTTAGGGCTTGCACCTGTGGGGTTTCGGGCTTGCCGGTGAGGGGTTTAGGGCTTCACCTTGAGGTCAGGGGTTTAGGGCAGCACTGTACGCGGGTAAGGGGACTAGGGCAGCACGGCTGAATGCAGGTGAGGGAGGTAGGAGGTTGTGGTAGCATAGGTGGAAATGGTGGGGTGAAGTACCAGATAAGCAGCCCAGGAGGTGGAGCACAACGTCAGCTCTCCTTGGCAGTCACAGGAGGCATAACAGGACTCATCTCACGCCCCTTTCACTATTTCACTCAACACCCTATCCCCTTCCCCCCCTTCACCCCTCCCCTTCCCCGGCAGGCCCTGCTGGACATGTTCGCGATTCAGTGGTAAATGGGGCAGCATGAACCATTTTTCAGTCACAGGATGCATGGTATACTCACTTCACCCTGCTTTCCCTATCGCACTCCCCTCCCCGCACTGTCCCCACACCTACCCCTCCCCCATCAGTCGCTGCTGGACATGTACACGATTCAGCGCGAGGTGGGGCGGCTGGACAACATCCGGGTGGGGCTGGTGGGCGTCCTGGCCAACGGCAGGACGGCACGCTCCCTCGCCTACCTGCTCGCCAAGTTCCGCAACAAGATCATCTTCGTCGCTCCGCCCGTCGTCCGCATGAAGGTGCCGTGGCCCATCTCTGCCTCCTTGCTTGCTGCATACAGAGACTCTTTCCTCACACCCTGTCTCACTCACATACCACTGTTCCCTGGGGCGACGAGGGGCCACTCACCTTGTTCCCTGGTCCATTTTCTGTTCCCTGGTCCATTTTCTGTTCCCTGGTCCATTTTCTGTGTCACTTGATCATGGCATTTACCCTTCATGTACCCATCACGCACCCTCCAAGCCTGCACTCCTGCTTGTAGTGATACCCTGTTGTCGCCCCACCCCGCTGCCGCACCAATCAGGATGACATCAAGGAGTATCTGACGGCGCGGGGTGTGGAGTGGGAGGAGTCGGCAGACCTGATGGACGTGGCGGCGCAGTGCGACGTGGTGTACCAGACGCGCATTCAGAAGGAGCGGTTCGGAGGGCGCATGGACGAGTACGAGGCGGCGCTCGGCAAGTACATTGTGGACCGCCGCGTGATGAATGCGCTGGGGAAGGATGCCATTGTCATGCATCCGCTGCCCCGACTCGATGAGGTGAGCGGGTGGAGGAATTGGTTGTTTGTTTGTGTGTGTGTGTGTGCGTGTGTGTGTGTGCGTGTGTGTGTGTGCAGTGAAGGGGAAACAGTGAAGGTAAAAGCAGTGAAGGGGAAGCAGTGAAGGGGAAGCAGTGAAGGGGAAGCAGTGAAGGGAAAGCAGTGAAGGAGCTGTGAAGGAGAAGCAATGAAGGAGAAGCAGTGAAGGGGAAGCAGTGAAGGAGAAGCAGTGAAGGAGAAGCAGTGAAGGAGAAGCAGTGAAGGAGAAGCAGTGAAGGAGAAGCAGTGAAGGAGAAGCAGTGAAGGAGAAGCAGTGAAGGAGAAGCAGTGAAGGAGAAGCAGTGAAGGAGAAGCAGTGAAGGAGAAGCAGTGAAGGAGAAGCAGTGAAGGAGAAGCAGTGAAGGAGAAGCAGTGAAGGAGAAGCAGTGAAGGAGAAGCAGTGAAGGAGAAGCAGTGAAGGAGAAGCAGTGAAGGAGAAGCAGTGAAGGAGAAGCAGTGAAGGAGAAGCAGTGAAGGAGAAGCAGTGAAGGAGAACTGACGGGAATCGATAAGGAGTAACAGCAGAGGGGGAGAGGGTGGGTGGATGGTGAAGCAGTGAAGCAGTGAAGCAGTGAAGCAATACAGGCCAGAATTGTATCTGGAGAAGCAGAGAAGTAGCGGAGTAGAGAAGATGCGGCGAGCTGATTCTTACCCAACCCAGTACTCCGATGTTGCGCATTTTGCTTGTTAGTGGTCAGGTAGTACCTCTATTGAATGTTCTTTCAATCTCATAGAAGGATCAACATCAAATTGCAGCTTTCTCGCACCACTCCTGATTGTTGTAAGCTCCCTGGTCATCAGAATCAAGTCGCTTCAAGTGTGGTGTTGCTAAGTTTCTAAGGTGGGAGTTAGTTAAGGTATGGATGCAACAGTGTCACAAGTACAGATGCAGTTAGGTTGTTGCTGTGTATGGGATGGGATGTGGTGAATGGGGAGGACACTTCTGTTGATGGAGAATACAGCTAAGGCACCCTCATAGGGCACTCTGCTCATACAGCTAACAAAGAGGCACAACAATCACAGATAAGGTTGTATCACATCCGTGGCACTGGCACCCTCATCGGGCAATCTGCTTGTTCCTACTGCGCGTCATCCAAGGTACCACGTGCAGTGCATCTACCGTATTCTCCCGGATAAAACACCCCCCCGTAATCGTACACCTCCGGGTACCTTATACGGGGTGGGTGTTATATCCGACCCCGTTAGTACTATACCCCCCTTCTTGGGGTGATTCTCTATAACACCCCCTTTTTTTATAGATTCCTATTATAGCTGTTATCGAGTCCGATTCCTTACAGGAGGATATCGCGAAAATCACTCCCTAGAAGAAATTTCGCATGTACTTTCACTTAGAATCAGCCGAGATATCCCCTCTCCCACAATCTCGTTGTCGCAACGCTGGTGAATCCCAAAATCTCGCTGTCGCCACGCTGGCGAATCTTCCACTGCAAGTGGTCCAAGAGGTGAAGTGGCCCAAGTGGCCCACAATATCCTCGTACTCGGTTTTGCGACATTGATCAACAATGTTGAAGTGAAGTCAGACCCCTGATTTTGTTTCACATCTTTTTTGTTTTATAAAAATATACCATATCATAAGACTCGGGTATTATATAGGATTTTCCTTTGAGGAGACCCCTCCCATTTTTTTCCAGTGGTTTTCATAATACCCTAGGGTGTTTTATCCGGGAGAATACGGTACCATAACTGCAGGGAGTGGACTTCGAATTCATTCACACAGGACGCCACTCCCATGTGCTGCTTCCAACTGCTCTGATGCCCACTTTGTGGCTCAAACAAGCACGGCGATTCGCTTCTCATATATTGTACGCCTTGAGATGAAACACATGGTGTTTCATCAGAGGGAGGCGCGGAGGGAGGCGCGGAGGGAGGCGCGGAGGGAGGCGCGGAGGGAGGCACGGAGGGAGGTGGGGAACAGGAATGCAGAAGCCCAGGATGGGCGGAGCAGTGGGAGCAGGGGGGCAGGGGGGAGCAGGGGGTACAGGGGGGAGCAGGGAGGACAGGGGGGTAAGGAGGAGAGAGCAGGGAAAAGGAGGACAGGGAAGACAGGGGGGACAAGGGGGCCAGGGGCGAGGGGGAGACGAGAGACAAGAGGGGCACACCTGTCCTTGGAGACGGCATACGGCGGGCCGCCCTCGTGGGCACCGATCTGCAGGCGGGGAGCACACAGCGAGGCACGCGGGTAGACAGACAGGCGTGGGCCGTGAGCAGAGAGCAGCGGGGAGAGCAGTGATAAGGGTTTGCCCATAGGGAGCACGCGAGGGTGCATTCATACATGCGGAAAACACGAGGACACAGATGAACATACAATGATAGGCGTGCATAGATATGCAAGCGGAACATGATAGGCGTGCAAAGATATGCACGCACGGGGAACATGAGAGGGTGCATGGATACGCATGGTGAGAGGGTGCACAGCAGTGATTAGGTTTCGCCCATAAAAGCACACAAGGGTGCATTGATGCGTGGAGGTAACACGAGGGCACACATGAACATTGAATAATAGGCGTGCATGGATACGCATGGTGAGAGGGTGCAGGGGCACGCACGGGGAACATGAGAGGGTGCAATGGATACGCACGGGGAACATGAGCGTGAAGAGCACCCCGTGTGGTGCAAGCAGCTCCGCTGTCTTGGCCGCCCACTTGCCCCTCAGCGATGGCGGCAGCACACAGAAGAAGCTGCACGCAGGGAGGGCCGTGGGGAGGGGCATGCAGGCACGCGGGCAAGGAAGGATGGTGCGTGGGTGCGTGAGGGTGTGAGGGGCAGGGCAGGGGCGATGGGGCATGTGAGCACTGAGAGGGACTGGTTCAGGGGGGGGGGGGGAATGATGGGTACGTGCTCTTAACGAAGCCAGAGACAGCGAATGGGACACAACAGACGCGGGAGCGATTGAGATGGTAGGCACGCGCTAGGAGAGAATGCGACACGACAGATGCGGGAGCGATTGAGATGGTGGGAACACGACCAGGGAAAGGACAGCAGCAGCAGGATTGCTGGTGTGGCCGCAGGTTCTTGGCCAGTGAGGGGTGAGAGGGAGAGGGGTTAGGGGTGAGAGGCAGAGGGGCGTGCGGTGAGAGGCAGAGGGGCGTGCGGTGAGAGGCAGAGGGGCGTGCGGTGAGAGGCAGAGGGGCGTGCGGTGAGAGGCAGAGGGGCGTGCGGTGAGAGGCTGAGGGGCGGGCGGTGAGAGGCTGAGGGGCGGGGCTCACGGGCAGTCAACGATGGCATGGAAGAGCTGTGGTGGGCGATACTCAAAGAAGTCGGCGCACTCAAACGCCATGGCCGCCCTGTTGGCCGCCCCCTCCACTCGCTGGGGTGAGCAGCGGCGGAAGGAGGTTGGGCGGGAGGGGGAGAGGGTTGAGAGGTTGAGAGGGTGGAGCGGGTTGAGAGGGTGGAGCGGGTTGAGAGGGTGGAGCGGGTTAAGAGGGTGGAGCGGGTTAAGAGGGTAGATATTGGGCAGCAGGGGAGGAGAGGAAAGGAGTGGGAGGGCAGGGGTGTGAGCAGAGGGACGGGCGAAGAGCGGAAGGGCGAATGGCTGCACAGCTGGCGGCACAGGCGCTGCCCACCCGCCTGTGCACGCGCCCACCTTCTCTGCACGCGCCCACCTCCTCTGCACGCGCCACAGCAGCCGGAGAGATGTCAAGGCCGGTCGCCTCCCTTCCATTCCATGCCAACGCCTCCACATCGTAGCCCTGCCATGCCATGCCATGCCATGCCATTGCCATAGTCATTCCATCCACCCCATGCAATGGCCTCGAACATCATCCCATGCCATGCCATGCCATGTCATCAAGTAGAGGAGAAAGTAAAAGCCAGGGTCTCAAGTAAGCTAAGGAGCCGTCAACTGCAAAGCAGTTGACGCTAGGTTACCTAGTTATTGCAGACGAATTTCTTTCTGGTTGGGTTGAAAAATTTGCCCGTGACACACCCCAGAAGCGATTGCACAACACTTTTGGGTACTTGAGACTTTCGATGAGTTGGGGGCATTTTAGGTTTGGATCCGAACCAAGTTTCCAAGCCTAGAAGGTTCGGGTACACCCAACGATTTGCGTTCACTTCGCAGCCCTCGCTTCTCCCCACTTCAAACCTTTCACCTCGCCAACCAATCGCAGCCCAACTTTCACCAGCAACTGCAAAACACTTGTAGTACTCGAGACCCTGGCTTTAATGCACTCTGAACCTACCAATGGCGTGGAGGGGAGGTGAGTGCAGTGCAGTAGAGAGGGGATGGGCGGAAACAAAAGGAGCGCAGTGGAGAGGAAAATGGAGGAGAGGAGAGGTGAGGAGAGGAGAGGAGATGAGAGGAGAGGAGCGGAGAGAAGAGGAGAGGAGAGGAGCGGAGAGAAGAGGAGAGGAGAGGAGTGGAGAGGAGCGGAGAGGGGCGGAGAGGAGTGGAGAGGAGAGGAGAGGAGCGGAAATGAGAGGAGAGGGGCGGAGAGGAGAGGAGCGGAGAGGAGAGGAGAGGAGAGGAGAGTAGAGGAGAGGATAGGAAAGGAGAGGAGAGTAGAGGAGAGGAGAGTAGAGGAGCGGAGAGGAGAGGAGAGGAGAGTAGAGGAGAGGAGAGTAGAGGAGCGGAGAGGAGAGGAGAGGAGAGGAGAGGAGAGGAGAGGAGCGGAGAGGAGAGGAGAGGAGCGGAGAGGAGAGGAGAGGAGAGGAGCGGAGAGGAGAGGAGAGGTTTGGTGAGTTGGTAGAGGTCGGCCATGGCCCCTGACTCTCCTTGGACACACCCATCCTGTCATGACTCTCCTTGGACACACCCATCCTGTCATGACTCTCCTTGGACACACCCATCCTGTCATGACTCTCCTTGGACACACCCATCCTGTCATTACGACGGGTGATGGGAGGCGAAGGGAGGTCGATGGGAAAGAGTAGTGATGTGCCAAGGGCATGGGGGGTTCTAGACAAGCAAGGGCATGGGGGGTTCTAGACAAGCAAGGGCATGGGGGGTTCTAGACAAGCAAGGAGCAATCATCACGCATGCCTTGGACTACGCCCCCTCCTGCTACAGCCCCGTTCACACTTTCCGTGAAACACCAACTATGTTGTGCTGTGCATTCCCGTGCTACAGCCAGGCGCCAGGCACTCACGGAGCCACAGCCGGGGACGAGCACGCGGCGGATGGAGGGCGGCAGGTGCAGCGGCGACCCCTCTTGCGCAGCCACGAGCGCCGCTACAGCCGGCATCACGCCGCCCAGATCCCACGGCGTCTTGCTCGCCTGCCATGCCTGGCGCCCGGGCGCGGGGGAGGAATGAAAATTAGGGTTGGGTTTTCCCAGAGGAATGCGGCGGGGTGCACAGCGGCGGGTCGAGGCAATTGGGGCGGAGAGGAACGAGAGGCGAGGACGTGTAATCAGGCACGTTAGCGCAAATGTACCGTAAGCTATCCACGCAAAATGATTGATGCGCCTTGACGTGAGGATGATGGAGGGCAAGCAGCGCAGATGCGCAGGCACGGACGGACGAATTTGAGCCTTTCGCGACGGCGTGCATCGCGGCAGACATCGCCGGCATTGCGCGACTCCAGTCGCCGTGCGCGCGTTTCAAGGATTGGAGAGAGGCTCACCCACGGGGTCGTCGGTCAGCAGCTGTCGAAACTCGTTCATCCCCGGAATGCTCTTCGGCGCGTCGAACGCCAGCACCTCCGACTGCACGCCAGGCGCGGCGTCCGCCAGAGTGGACGCGTGCTGAGTCATGCCGCGTGCGAGGGTGCTCGCAAACGAATCGATTTCCGGCGATTGCGCTGAGGGATATGCGGAAGACGCGAAGCGATCAATCACCGGGCCCTTGCGGAAAAGGGCTTGTTAGACGGATGCCCGCGACGGTATCATCCTCCGATTATGCAAGCAGAGGGAAAATAGCTGGACAGCTGTAGGGATCGTGCAAAAAAAAAAAACTCCTGGCCCCCAAAACATGCCCGCACGTGGAATCCACGTCGTGGAGTGTCGAGCAATGCCCGTCATGCAGGGCACAAACGAGCTCCTCGCGTGTCAACCGGGATCTCCTCCGAATATGTCGCCAGCGACCTAGGTCGCAACCTATCACGGAACCTCGCAGCCCCTACTTACCGGCCTACGTCACCGAACGACCGTCAAACCTTCGCCACCTCGACAGGTTCCCCTCCCTTGACATCGTTTCGGCGCCAGGTAAGTTGCTGCCCGCCCTGGCCCAGCCCACTCGCGACGTCTAACTTCGTGCACTGTTTCAGTATCCTATTCAAGTATCCTGTTCCAGTATCGCCACGACACGCCGCTCCCCTGACGGCTGCAACCACTAGTCCACCATCCCTAGACTAGCCATGACTACATTTTCTAGGGGATCATACTGTTTTCACTATGAATCCGCGAAATCGGCGAATTTCATTACCAATTTGCACCTCACAGTCGGGAGCTTGCCGAGGCTATGCCAGGGAGCTACACTGAATCGAACAATGAACTTGCTGTATAACAAATCTATATCTGGAAGTCCAGGATTCTGAAATTTGAGCTATTGATTGTGGCTTGTTGACATGGACTCTTGGGCTACTTCTGTTTGATATTGTTTTTATCCGCACTATAATTTCTTCTAAAAGGTGCCTCAATGATAACATGAGAAAAAAAAAAGCCACAAGGTTCATTCAACATGGATGGAATATAAATCATCCATTTGCTTTTTTTTTTTTTTACGGTAAATGATTTCTAGGTGGCTGGTTATTTTTACGGCATCCTATCCTGTCTTCTGTTGACCCCCTTGTCATCCACGCCCTCGTCACACTCTGGATGCTGCAGCTGCTCGCACCCACTTGGCCAGCTGCTCCTTGCCCTGCACAACCCAACCACACACACACACCCACGCACCCACCATGCACCCACCCAGACCCACACCCACACCCACACCCACACCCACACCCACACCCACACCCACACCACACCCACATCCACACCCACACCACACCCACCTCCGCTCCCTCACACACACACATGCTTGCACGCACGAACACAGACACAACCACACACAGTGGCAGGTGGGGCGCACATGCAATGAGCCAAAGACGGAGCAGGCAACACGCAGAGCAATGCGATCCGTGCACTCGTGCACATGCAAGGATACGGCAATCCAGTGGGCAACAAACAGAGCACTAGGGACCCGTGTCCCTGTGCACACGCAGCCCACCAGGCGTACCTGTCTGGGCGGCACACTGACCTGTCTGGGCGGCACACTGACCTGTCTGGGCGGCACACTGACTGTGGGCAAATCCTCTGCCGTGAAGCCCAGCGGCTCCAGCACCTCCGCATAGCTGCACGGTAGGCAGTGGCACGCGGCGGGGGGGGGCAGGCAGGCAGTGGAGCCATGAGGAGTCGGTGGTGGTGGCGAGTGCGGCAGGAGAGAGGAGCAGAGAGAGAGGGAGGCGCGGAGGGCGGTGGGGAACATAAGTGCGGAGGCCCAGGATGGGGAGGGCAGGAAGGGAATAGGAGAAACAAATGGCAGTACAGCGAGGGCTGCATAGGGCCGAGCAGGAGGGGGAGGGGGCAGGGGGGCCAACAGCGGATGTGACAAGCGGACCAGGCGGAGCAGGGGGTACCGGGGGGAAAGGGGGGAGAGTAGGGAAAGGGAGACAAGGAAAACAGGTTGAATGGGGACGAGAGGGCGCAGGGGCGAGGGGGGGCACGGGGGAGAGGAGGGGCGCACCTGTCCTTGGAGACGGCATAGGGTGGGCCGCCCTCGTGTCCATCGATCTGCAGGCCAGGCGCACGCAGCGAGGGGCAGACACACAGCCAGCCAGCCGTGCGTCGTGAGCAGACAGCGGTGATTAGTGTTTGCCCATAGGGAGCACACTCGGGTGCATTCATGCGTGCAGGTAACACGAGGGCAAACATGAACATTGAGTGACAGGCGTGCATGGATACGCATGGTGAGAGGTGCACGCACGGGGAACATGAGAGGGTGCAATGGATACGCACGGGGAACATGAGAGGGTGCAATGGATACGCACGGGGAACATGAGAGGGTGCAATGGATACGCACGGGGAACATGAGAGGGTGCAATGGATACGCACGGGGAACATGAGAGGGTGCAATGGATACGCACGGGGAACATGAGAGGGTGCAATGGATACGCACGGGGAACATGAGAGGGTGCAATGGATACGCACGGGGAACATGAGAGGGTGCAATGGATACGCACGGGGAACATGAGAGGGTGCAATGGATACGCACGGGGAACATGAGAGGGTGCAATGGATACGCACGGGGAACATGAGAGGGTGCAATGGATACGCACGGGGAACATGAGAGGGTGCAATGGATACGCACGGGGAACATGAGAGGGTGCAATGGATACGCACGGGGAACATGAGAGGGTGCAATGGATACGCACGGGGAACATGAGAGGGTGCAATGGATACGCACGGGGAACATGAGAGGGTGCAATGGATACGCACGGGGAACATGAGAGGGTGCAATGGATACGCACGGGGAACATGAGAGGGTGCAATGGATACGCACGGGGAACATGAGAGGGTGCAATGGATACGCACGGGGAACATGAGAGGGTGCAATGGATACGCACGGGGAACATGAGAGGGTGCAATGGATACGCACGGGGAACATGAGAGGGTGCAATGGATACGCACGGGGAACATGAGAGGGTGCAATGGATACGCACGGGGAACATGAGCGTGAAGAGCACCCCGTGTGGTGCCAGCAGCTCCGCTGTCTTGGCCGCCCACTTGCCCCTCAGCGATGGCGGCAGCGCACAGAAGAAGCTGCACGGGGCGACGAGGGCCGTGGGGAGGGACAGGGGGGCATGGGGGCATGGAAGGATGGTGCGTGGGCCCGCGAGGGCGTGAGGGCCATGGCAGGGGCGATGGGGCATGTGGGCACTGACAGGGAGGGCCTGGATGAGCGGAAGGGGGGCAAGATGGGGTACGTGCTCTTAACCAAGATGGGGTACGTGCTCTTAACCAAGGCAGCAGAGGAAGAGCAGGCGTGGCAGCAGAGGAAGAGCAGGCGTGGCAGCAGAGGAAGAGCAGGCGTGGCAGCAGAGGAAGAGCAGGCGTGGCAGCAGAGGAAGAGCAGGCGTGGCAGCAGAGGAAGAGCAGGCGTGGCAGCAGGCGTGGCAGCAGGCGTGGCAGAAGGTGTGGCAGCAGGTGTGGCAGCAGGTGTTTGGGGCGGGGCTCTCACGTGTAATGCAAGGGGGTGGAGCAGCGGAGGGCAGCGGAGCCAGCAAGGGGGTGGCATGCAAGGGGTGAGAGGCAGAGGGCGGGGCTCTCACGTGTAGTCAAAGACTGCATCGACGGGCTGTGCTGGGCGATACTCAAAGAAGTCGCCACACACAAACGCCATGGCCGCCCTGTTGGATGCCCCCTCCACCCGCTGAGAGCAGCAGGTTGAGTGTTGACAGGGATGAGAAGCAGGGGGGAAGGAGTGTTGCAAGGGATGAGAAGCAGGGGGGAAGGAGTGTTGCAAGGGATGAGAAGCAGGGGGGAAGGAGTGTTGCAAAGGATGAGAAGCAGGGGGGAAAGAGTGTTGAAAGGGATGAGAAGCGGAGGGGAAAGAGTGTGGAAAGGGTTGAGAAGGTAGAGAAGGTTACGCGGGTAGAATTTGAGCAGCAGGGGAGGGCAGCGGAGCCAGCAAGGGGATGGGCGAAGAAGGGGAAGGGCGAATGGGCGGCAGGAATCAAGCAACATGAGTGGAGTGAGCTATTGCGCGGCCATGTCACGTGCGCCCACCTTCTCTGCGTGCGCCACAGCAGATGGAGCGATGTCAAGGCCCGTCGCCTCCCTTCCATTCGATGCAAACGCCTCCACGTCATAGCCCTGCCATGCCATGCCATGCCATGCCATGCCATGCCATGTCATGCAAGCATATCCAACATCACCCCATGCCATGCCATGGCATCCGAGCAGTGTCATGGTATCCAGAACCCCCCCGATGCCATGCCATGACATGGACCCACGTGATAGCATGAGGTGATGTGCCAACGGCATTTTAGACAATCGGCCAAAGAGCAATCATCGCACATGCATTGGACTTTCCCCCCGCTTGCTACAGCCCTGTTCACATCTCCCATAAAACACCCACTGTGCATTCCCGTGCTACAGCCGGGCGCAAGGCACTCACGGTGCTACAGCCCGGCGCAAGGCACTCACGGTGCCACAGCCGGGGACGAGCACGCGGCGGATGGAGGGCGGCAGGTGCAGCGGCGACCCCTCTTCCGCCGCCACGAGCGCCGCTACAGCCGGCGTCACGCCGCCCAGATCCCACGGCGTCGTGCTCGCCTGCCACGCCTTGTCCCACCCGCCTGGCCCAGGCGCAGGGGAGGGATAAAACTTAGGGTTAGGGATTCCCCGAGGGATGCGGAGGGATAGGGAGCGGCGAGTGGAGGCAATTGGGCGTGGTGGGCGGAGTGGAGCGAGATGCCACGATGGATGGCAATCAACCACGCCAGCGCCGGGGTACAGAATGATTCGGCGCGCCTTAAGGTGCGGATGAGGAGGTGCGAATGGTGGAGGTGCGAATGATGGAGGTGCGAATGATGGAGGTACGAATGATGGAGGTGCGAATGATGGAGGTGCGAATGATGGAGGCAAGCAGCGCAGATGCGCTGGCACGGACGCAGCCAGGGCGGACGGAAATTACTGAGCCTGTGCAACGGTGCGTCACAGCGGTCACGCACAGTCCACCCTGTCGGCGGTCGGGAATCCCAGCAACCCTG